TGGAACAGGTGCCCCTGGCTGAGGTGCTACAACAAAGGATTCAAGTGTCCCTAGTTCCTGCCTTGTGAGACATGGCCTCGGCTTCCTAAGCTGCCACCTGTGTTCCCATTATAGCAAATACATGTGCTCATCACCACCTTCCCAGCTTCCAATCATGGATAAGACACCACGAGGTAGACTTTTGTGTTTTATTTCAAAAGTTGAAATAAGACAAAGTTCTACCCAATTGTAGGGAAGGAACAAGTGAATACCAAGAGTCAGAAGAATGGGTAGCATTGGCACAGACGTGGCAAGAGTATAAAACTGGAAACCTCTGGATAAAGAAAAAATGTACAAAATGTGTTTTGAGTATAAATTAAACTTATTTCCTGTCCAAGGTGATAAGTGCATGCTAGAGAGCACTTGCCACCCGAAAAAAAATGTGTGTGTTGGGGGACGTGGACACCAGTAATGGGGCAAGAACTTTTCTTTACTCAGGCTAGGAAAGCTTATCACACTCCAGGCTGGAAGTTTTGTTTTGGTGACCCTCTAAACTAACTGGAATAGGTGGAGAAGGAACATCTCTGCTTTCAGCCCTATAAAGATCCCAGATGCCCTCTCTGGTGCATGTTGACCTTCTCAGCTAATGGCAGCCACTGGCAAACTCTTATCCTCTCAAGTTCTGAGCTCTGCTGCCATGTTGGTGTTCCTGGGGGTGGCTCCCAAGCATTAATTAATATTCTAAGCAGTCATTACTCAGCCCATCCTCCTGGCATACCACAGCAAGACCTAACTGAAGAGTTCACACTATTCTAGGGTGATGATGAAGGAGGTAAAAACCTCAAAGAAAACATTCCAGAAACAGAAATAACCAAGAGATTTTGCAGTTGGTCATGAGACCTTTGTAGCCTCCATCTTCCTAACCCTCATGAAGGCAAGGACAGAGTAAAGGAAGGCAAGAAGTGAACCAGGTGCCCGTGCTGAATTGTGAAACTGTGAGGTAGGTCTTTAACAAAGACAAGAAAGTTCTGGGATACACCTGGAGAATGAAGGTTCATTCAGAACAGACGTGGACATGCCAGGGAGAAGGAGCAGTGGTAACTGGGGTGAGAGGGCACCTAGCTTTCTCATTACTACAGTCATGTGGGGACCACCCCTAGGGAGGTGCAGCAGAATTCAGCAAAGACGAGAAGGGTGATAGAGCTCTCAGGCCCATCTCAGCTGTTGAAGGAAGACCCTCCTACGAAAGGAAGGAGTAAAAGCTGAGTAAACGAGGGATCTGCTAATGCTTGGAAAGACCTAAAATACAGGTAGCATAGAAATGGAGTTGGTTTAAGAGGGAATCAGGAAGGATCAGTGTGACAAGGCCCAAGGTTTAATACCTAACCCTTACAGACTAGCTTTCATAATACCCACCCTCTTCTCTGAATGAAGCTGGTCTAGCAGAGCCTGAGGATAAGTTTAGATCTGATCACTGACCCAAGTTTATTGCCCTAAGAGAACGTGCATAAGAGAACAGCAACGATTTTTTTTTTCCCCTAGAAGATGATTCCGTGGGGATCCCTGCAACATTCCATTCCAGCAAGGCCTCTCACCTCACCTTTGTGAAGCAAAGTAACAACCCACATGTAGGTCCCCAAACGGTAGACACCGAAGCAGCAGGGAATAAGCAATGCAGGCAGGCACCAAGGGGCTGAATGAGCTCACTGATCAGTAAGTTAGGAAAGAAGAATGGAACTGGGCTGAGGTGGCCCAATCCAGGGATGGTCAGTAGAGCAGCACAGTCCTCACACTGAGTGCAAGTAATGTCCCCCTACTACCCCCAGCTATTACTGACAAGGGCTATTTATTACCTCTTCAGAGTCACCAGGCTTCCTAGTCTAGGCAACTCTTCAAATCCTTTGGTTAAAAACACACTTTAAAAATAACATCTCTCCCCATCATCATTCCCACATCTTCCCTAACCTCGACCCACACCCTCCTCCAAAAACTCTAATCAGCCTCGGGGCTGAGTATCATCTCAGAGCGAGAGAGGAGCAGTAACAACACCGCATGAGATGGGATGGGCAGGCTCTGAGGCTAGTAAAGGATTGTATCATCTGAGAAAGGGATCTAGTATGTTCTATTTGACTGAAAAGAAAAAAATACAAAGTACTAAAATATTTTAAGAATGTTATGAGCATCTGTAATGAGTGGGGGTGAGATATGAAGTACAGAGAGAGTTATGACCTGGCTCCATGAATACAGGATTCAGAAAACACTAGCATAGTGTTTAAAGAGCCCAGCCCTAGGCTGTGAGCTTGAAGGCTCTCCCTACAATTCTGCCACCACTGCCACCAATGGGGCTATGTCATGGGAGAAAAAGTATCCCTCATTCCTTGTCTCCTTTTTCCAATCACTCACCCCTGTTATGAACTGTTAGAAATGAACTAACAATTAGGCAAAAAGTATCATGAGTGTAACCCAAAAAGGCCCAAACAAAATTCCACGATGCCATTAACCATTACAAAAATAACTTGAGGCTCTCCGTCACTTCCCATGCCCAAACCTGCCCAAACCAGAAACACCCATTAATAAAATCCATTAAGCAGATTCACATGAGAACACACAAAAGGTAACTTCAGAATTTTAGAACAGAACAAAGCAAAATTACAGCCATTTAAACATTTAAATACAGAGAAAGTAGACAGAACCAGGAATTCTGGGAGGCAGAGGGCAGCAGTGACATCAAGTTTCTACACATGAAAGGCCCTCATTTCACTAAGCCTCCTAGCAAAGCAAGGCTCCCCTAAACTACTATTAATTAAATGAACAGGATTCTAGATTTTTCTCCTTTTCCTCAAGGCCACTGACAAGAAATATATGGTGTATTTTCCTTGACTAAGGAGTAGAGACTCAGAAACAAGAGATACCTGCCCAGGCAAAACCTTCTATAAAGTTACTGGGTTTGGGGCTGTTTTACATCAGATAAACCCTTCCTGAGGTTGGAAGTACCCGTGAGAAAATGAATAGTGGCAATTTTATCCTTTATGCTTTACATCCTACCTATTGTCCCCTACCCCTACTCCCTTAACCCCAGGATGTACAAAAGGACACTCTATGGGTAGGGAGCATTAGGACTCTCAACTCTGGGATGGGTGGAGGGGAGGGAAAGCTAGGCCCAAGCTCTAGGTACAACTGATAATACAGCTTCTTCCCGCCCAGTAGCATCTCCTTCCTCTCCCTACAGCCAGCCTACTGAACACCTGTTTCTCCATTCTCCATCATTTGGCTTTCTGTCTGATTGGTGGAAAGGCACCTGACCTTGAAGTGAAGGGGAGCAGAACTCTCCTTTCAGTGCAGAAGGGAGTGACTGGGAAGAGACAGGTGCAGGATCTTATTTCCTAGAAGATGGACAAAGGTCCTATCTGTCTCCGTGTGCATAGTCAGGTCTTGCAGAAGGTGATGGAGTTGAAGAGCAAATTATAGCCTTTTTTTGAAGGACTCCTGACCTTGTAAATAGTGAGATGGGGTTTATGGCCCTTTTCTATCCCAGCTCCCTGCTGTCCTTCCACAAGCAGGAAGATTATTTTTGATGTCCTGATTCCCTGGAAAAGGGGCCCAAACACACTAGGGAAGGTTGCCCTGGACAGTTACAAAGAGCTTTGTCCTTTCTCGCCCCTTCATGGCACACACACACAGAACAGTCCCCACCTCTATCCCTCTGAATGTGTGTGTGCACATGGCACAAGCCTTTCAAGGACAGCTCTTGCTGTACACAGATGTGCCAAAGGTCAAAGCCTGGGGAAAATTCAAGAACCTCAGTTCTGTCCCTCTCAACTAGCTGCCTCAGTGTCAAAAGGCACTGTGTGTCTAGAGTGGGGATGGGAATTTACCAAGTTCTCTGGTACAGGAGGCAGGGATGACACTGTCTACATCAAGGTTTCCTAACCTTGGTACTACTGACATTTTGAGCCAGACAATTCTCTGCTGGGGGAGTTGGGGCTCTGCTGTGCCCTGCAGGGTGTTTAGCAGAATCCCTGGTCTCCAGCCACTAGCTGCCAGTAGCACACAGCCCCACCCCCAGGCGCGACAACCAAAAATGTCTCCAGAGATTGCCAAATGGCCTCTAGGCGACAAAACCACCTCTTTGAGAATCGCTGGTCTAGAGGTAAAGCAGCTGATTGTCCGTGGTGGGGAAGGAACCTAAATGGATTCAGCAAGGTCACAAATGCAAAGGCCCTGAGCACAGCAACGATGTGAGATAGGGAAGAGAGCGGCCCTGAGACCCAGGGCAGAAAAGATCCTCTAGGAAGCAGAAAAGCAGGTATTCCTGAGAAGCTGTAACAGGGGAAGACATTTTCTCAGAGGGTGTGGTGTGGGCCTCGGCAGTGAGAAGAGTCAGAAGTCAGTAGGTCCACTCCTCTGGAAATCGCCAGGGAAAACCTAGCCTTCATCCAAATTTGGATCAAGGATGGCTTCCTAAGGCTGTGGGATTGTCTCCTTAGTGAGCCTAGGTCACATCTCTGCTTCCGGAGGGCAAAGTCTAGTCTTTCCTCCTAGGATGCGGCAGGTCAGAGGGAGGAAAAGCCACTTCCACTGCCTGCTTAGTGTTCTACCTTGTTCCTTGCCCAGCCCCCCAAAATTCCATATGAAATTTCATTCAAAAAAGAAATTCACAAAATTAAAAACTTAAAGAGGCAAAGTAGGCAGGTTCTGCTGTATGGAAAGGAGAAAAAGAACACTCTGGATGAGAGGAAGAAGGCATAAAATGTATGTGAAGAAGCGACGGGATGTGTGATCTAAGAGCTTTTATAAAACAAAACTTTAAAAGTCTGCATGTTTTCTTACACCCCCACCAAAAGGTCCATAACTAAACTCAGTAAGTAGGGCCCACAGTAGGACTCCATCAGTGTTCTAGCACCACACCTTTTTCTTTTCTTTTAAGAAAATAATTTGTTTCAAAAGCCTTTCCAAATAAGTCCAACACATCAAAAACTGTTTTTCATAAAGATGAGAACAAGCTCCAGGCACCGTGTCTCTTTGGGGTAGGGGAAGAGTATACTGCGGTTTAAAACAAAACATAAAACTTTCTTCACAAAATAAAAGAAGTCTTTTTGGTCTCCTCGACTGTAGCACACACAAAAAGTGACAGTTCCTCCAGGCTCCACCAGGAGTGGAGGAAGAGCAGAGGGCAGCAGTGCAGAGACTTCTTTTTCCAGGCCCAGGCCTGTGAAAACCGATGACCAAGTGTTAGTCCTCAGCTGGGCCCACAGAGGGGCTGTATTCCTGGTCAGCCCTCTGGAGTCTGGAGCATCAGCATCTCCAAGAGTTCATTTATATACTCAACAAAGATGGGGAGGGAAATCCTAAAGGAGGCATAAGCCAGAGAGGGTAGGGAGGGCGAATGACAAACATGAGAATCTGATTTCAGGCTGCTCAGCCCACCCCGCCCCTCAGTATGTGATTCTTACCACTGTTACTTGTTGAACTGGAAAGAATAGACCCCATGGTCTGAGGGAGCATCCACCGTCACTTGATTTTGCTGGCTGCCGCTCTCCTGTACCACAGCCAAGGCAGGAGAGTCACCTTGTGCATCCTTTCCTCACCTCCCACTGAAGCAGCCTAGCTAAGTTGCATGTCCTCCCCAACCAACCCATTCCCACACACCTGTGTGAGTGCACATACATACACACACATACACACACGCGCGCGCGCACACACACTCAGAGCATCACTTCCCCAACGTTTAGAGCAACCCATCCTCTTCCCAGGACACACTAGTCAATACAAGCCAGCATCCTGGGATTAACTACCGCCTGCCAAATGAGAGGAAGGGCCTCATTCAAAGATACAAACTAAGTCTTTCCTTCCTACATTCTTCACATCCCTACCAGCTATTTGTGAACACAGAATCAGCATCACTGTGAGAGGAAGATTTTGATCAGGGGAAAATCTGCCTCTGTTCATTTTCCAATCTTCAATCCAAAGAGATTATAAAGCTCTTACCTCAACTGAAACACTGGAAGAAGGCACAGGGGTGTACTGGGAGATGTACGCTCCTTGCATAGCTGCAGCTGTTGGCATATACTGGAATGAGATACATCAATAGGCTTAGAGCAGTGATTCTTGGCTACATTTAAAGCACCTGGGGAGCTGTAAAAAATACAAGTGCCTATTGTTCCGTCCCCAGAGATTCTAATTTAATTGTCCTAATTGTGCTTTTTAAAAGCACTTCAGGTGACTCTAAAGTACACTGGCTTAGAGAGGCTTCTACGTACATGACTACCTTTTCCTCCTCTTTCCTGTCTTCTGCTTTTTCTCAACGCACTGCCTTCTCTGCTTTAAGCCCTCCTGAACAAATCAGAATGCATCCGACCTACAAGAAAACTAATGAGCTTCACCCGTTCTTCCTGTTACTACTTTGATAAGGACTTCTAGGAAAGTGTATGAACTAGATAAACTAATATGTAGGTAGAAACACCATTTATTTAGTTGCATGAGTAAGAATCAGTTAAATGAATGAGCTAAACAGCAGAATGGCTGTATTCCTAGCTCACGGATTATTATCTTTTTAGTTTATCGCCTTTTCTGAGTGTGCCCTCGATGACACTGAAGTGATTCCCATCCTTATTCAAGAGTATTTAAACCTAAGAGTGTTACATAGGTATTCTTTGCTTGGTAGGAGTTTATAATAAAAAAAACATCCTGCTTTACTGTGCCCGTGCTGCTGAGCGAGAGGTGGCCCAGTTGCTGGGTAAGAGGTCCCATCATGGAGGCAGGCTGGAGAGAAATAGGATGATCCATTCCTGGTGTCAGAACTGAACCCTAGAAGCAGCAACAAAGGACAGGGTTAGTTGGCAGCATCCTATGAGGCTGCCTGAAGCGGTGATTCATGGCTACCAGAACCACTGAAGACAGACATTTAAAAATCCTGGGAAATGATAGGTGAGCAACGACCCAGCTATGAAGCAGGAACAGGCACTGCCCATCAATCTGGAGGGATCCTTGTCTAAGAATAGCAAACTTACAGAATTTAAGGTCAAACACCTGAGTTACACAGGAGACTGAGCCAGAACTCACACCCTTATCTCATTTCATCAAATCCCACTGTTTTTCTTTACATCAAATTGCCTCTTTGGCTTTTGCCCACTTCTGAACACTCACTGAAGGCTGCATGAGGTATGACTGGTGGTGCATCCAAGACAGGTTAGGTACTTGTAGAGGAGATGTCTGAGTTACTCTCTAATGCAAGCGAAAATAAACAAACAACAATGTTAATTGCCTAGAGACTATTATTTTGCCTAATGATCTGATAATGTTCAGCAAAACCCACATAAAGTTGGAGTGTGCCCCCCCTCAGAAACTGTAAATATTAAGAATAAACTGTTTAAAAAATATTAACAACTCTTACACTTCAAGTAATCCCATTTTAAACTGGGCTACAAATTTGAATAGATATTTCTCTAAGAAGATACACAAATGGCCAACATGCATATGAAACAGGTTCAACAACATTAGTCACTAGGGAAATGCAAATCAAAGCCACAATGAGATACCACTTCATACCCACCAGGATGGCTATAATTAAAAAAGGACACAATAACAAATGTTATACACTGCACATGGGGATGTAAAATGGTACAGGGGCTTTGGAAAACAGTTTAGCAGTTCCTCAAAAAGTTAAACATAGAGTTACTATGTAACCCAGCAATTTCGCTCCTAGGTATATACCCTGGAGAAATGAAAACATATGTCCACACAAAACTGTGCACAGTAGTTCAGAGCGGCATTATTCATAACAGCCAAAAGGTGGAAACAACTCAAATGGCCATCAACTGTTAACTGGATAACAAAATGTGGCATATCCATGAAATGGAATGTGATTCAGTCATAAAAAAGAATGAAGTACTGACACATGCTACACATGAGTAAACTTTGAAAACATGCTAAGTGAAAGAAGCCAGACACAAAAGACATATACTGTATGCTTCCATTTATATGCAATGTTCAGGAGAGGCAAACTTATAGACGTAGAAAGTATATTGGTCATTGCCACGGGCTAGGGGTAAGGGCAAATGGGGAATAAATACTAATGGGTGCACAGTTTCTTTCTGAGGTGATGAAAGTGTTCTGGAATTAGATAACGGGGACAGTTGCATAATTCTATAAATATACTAAAAAATACTGACTTGTACACTTTAAGAGGATGAATTTTATCATCTGTAAATTATATCTGAATTTTAAAATTTAAAAAAGCAGTGAGAAGCTAGAAATGCATCTTGATAGACAAGTAGGTTTATTCCACACATATAAGGATTGTTCAAGATCAGAAGCTCTACAAACATAAGTCAAAATTGAAGAAAAAAAGCCATAGTGTAATATTAGATGCTGAAAAGACATTTTAGAAAATTCAGCAGCCATTTACTTTTTAAAAAAATCACAAAGTAGGGAATTCCCTGGAGGTCCAGTGGTTATGACTCAGTGCTTTCACTGCTGCGGCCCGGGGTTCAATCCCTGATCGGGTAGCTAAGATCACACAAGCCTCGAGGTGCGACCAGAAAATAAATTTTAAAAAATACCACAGGGCTTCCCTGGTGGCGCAGTGGTTGAGAGTCCGCCTGCCGATGCAGGGGACACGGGTTCGTGCCCCGGCCCGGGAATATTCCACATGCTGCAGAGCGGCTGGGCCCGTGAGCCATGGCCGCTGAGCCTGCGTGTCCGGAGCCTGTGCTCCGCAATGGGAGAAGCCACAACAGTGAGAGGCCCGTGTACCGTAAAAAAAAAAGAAAAGAAAAAAAAAACCCACAAAGTAAAATAGAGACTAGAAAGAAACTACTTACATATATTAAAGGCTATTACCAAAAACTATCTGCAAACCTTAACCCAAACAGAGAAATATTAAAACCATTGCAATTATAGTAACCTATTAGGTAGTGGGGTCAAATAAATACAATTGGATAAGAAAACAGTTGGCATAAAATTGAAAAGGAGGAGAGAACTATTATTTTGCATCAATGATATACTGTATCACTGTATACCTAGAAAACCTAAGAGATTTAAGTAAAAAAAAAAAAAAAACTAGTAGTAATAAGAGGATTTGTAAGTGAGCAGTATACAAGATAGATGAAGATAAATTAGTAACTTCTCAGTGTATCAATAAGCAGCTAGAAATGCTTATAAAAATTACAGAACACTTAGAAGTATATTTAACAAGAAAAACATAAGACCTACATAAATAAAACTAAGATCTTATTGAAGGATATAAAACTTTGAGAACATGAAAAGAAATACCATATTTTAGGTGAAAAGACTTAGTACTTTTGAAAAGTCAATCCTCTTTAATATATAGATCTAATGTAATTCTAATTAAAATCCTCCCTCACAGATTTTTAAAAATTAGATAAAATGATCATAAACTTATACAGAAGAATAAATGCCAAAACATAGCAAAGAAAAGTATGAAAGAGTGGAGAAGGTTTTGTCTTATCAAATATTAGAACATACTATGAAAGCCACTGTAATCAAATCAATACATTATTGAAATAGGAACAGACACAATGATCACTGGAAGAGAATAAAGGATACAGAAAAAGATTCCAGCGTTTACTACATGACAAAGGTGGCATTTCAATTCAGTGGGAAAAGGATGGATTATTTAATAATTTGGTGCTAGGATAACTGGTGAACATTTTGAAGGAAATACAATAGAACCCCTATCTTATGTCATATACAAAAATAAATTCCTGGTTATTATACATTTAAATGTAAAACAATGAAATACATCTTGGGGACCATATGTACAATATAGGGACTGGGAAGACCTTTTAAATTAAGACAAGAAATGCAAAAGCTGAAAGTAAAAAAGCAGACATATTTAACTATACACAAATTTTAAACTTTCGTATGGCAAAAACTAGTGATTCCCAAAGTATGGTCCCCGGATCAGCAGCAGAAGCAGGAGCAGCATCTGGGAACTTGTTAGAAATACAAATTCTTGCCTCTCACCCTAGACTTGCTGAATCAGAAATTCTTGCTGTGGTGCCCAGTAACCTAGGTTTAATAAGTGATTCTGATGCACAGCTGAAGTTTGAGGATCATAAAGTCAACGGAAAACAATTAAATTTGGAAAAAAAAACTTGTAACAAAGATAACATTCAGAAGATTAGTACTTATAATATTGACAGTTTTTTTTTTTTTTTTTTTTG